GTCCTCATGCAAGTGGAGTGTGCATATGCTCATACATAAGATGTTGACTGGTATATTTTGTAGTAAACGCTGATCACATGGCCATTTTCTGATCGACATGTGCTGCTTTGCCGACAACTGGCATGTATAAGCATGGGACTGAATAGGGCCGCGAGGTAATTTGCTCGTGCTCATCTATGCCGACAAGATGAGAAAGACTGCAGGATTTGAGGTGAGCAACTATCAATGATTCAGTTGTGTGATCACTATCGTTCCGCCAATCTGGTTGTGCGGCCAATGTTGACACAACACAGTCCATGGTATCTTGCTCTAGCTTCACTGTCAACGAATTTCATGCACGCCTAGAATGATCCCGCCCGGGACTCAATAGAGATGGATTGGGACAAGTAAGATTCCGGCTTTATTAAGGACTTGTAAGAGGATACTGACAGCCCGCACAAAACGCAATGATGAGCGTATAAGATAATTATCCAACATTCACCTTTCTTCTACGGGTCATGCTCAGCATGGCGACCACATCCTGGAAGTTGTCTTTCGCTCAGTTGCCAAATCTGATGCGTGGAGCTAGTGCATGTTGCGTCTCACACGTGTTAGTGTATTGACTCATTCCTTTCCTATATCCCCACACATTAAATAGGCCGTCATACAGATACAATGAATGAGCGAGCTTCTCAAATTGAGTCGCCATTTTTTCCTCCCTCAATTTGCATTTAAATTTTCCTTATGTATACGTCGGTTGGCTTACTTCGTCCTTTATAAACCGATTTTTATCTCTATTTGTTCATTCGAACTAAAATGAGGTCACTAGTGCACGACGCTACCGGCGTTTTTAAAGCAGTCTATTTTTGCCAAAATTTAACGCATTTGCCAAGGACAATTATCCACGATGTCGACACTTGCAGTCAATGACGATTAGGGACTGCTTTTGAATCTCAGACTGTGCCGACGGTGATATTTAAAGATCGTAGGTCCTAACTTTTGTCCGTATCGGATAGTCTTTTTTGCTTTACATTTCCGTAAAAAAGTTGGCACTTTTAGGGGAAACTAGATGTTTGGACAGTTGATAATATGACGAGGGCACTGTTTTTTTTCAAGAACGACAACCTTTCAAAAATAATAAAAGCAGTTGTGAGAAGCGTTACTTTGAGCAAGATGAGACGCACCACGGTTTACTGGCATATAGATTTGCCGACATAATATAACGAGTAATGAGAGAATGCGAGGCGGCAGACCAAATCCTATCGATCTCAAATGTTGGTGACTGTTGCCGTACATCAAAAAGTTCTCGGAAGCTGTCAGCCGCCCTCTCACTCCAGTGGCAATTGCGGTCGAACAGAGAATCTAAATAACTTCCAAGCATAAGAAACTGAACCCAAACGTCCACTGTCAAGGTGGGAAATGCATAGAGCCATACACTGGATTTCGTACACTTTTGGGAAAAGCTACTAAGTAGGGGAAACCTGAGGAATAATCTGTACACGAATGGGTGGACAAGCTGCAGCGATGAGTGACAGGACTGATCCCAGCTCTCAAATTGCAGTTCATTCAGCAGGAATTAAACGCACCTGAAATTTCAGAAGAAACCAAACTTAATGCACGTGCTGACAACACCTAGGTGTTTTCTAAAGCTTACAGGTGATCCTATTTGATAGCCGCATAAAAAGCCAAGTGGTGTTGTAGCACCAATAGAAATAACCATTAAAAACCACCTCAGCCATAAGTCAAACTTTCAGTAATCCATAAGCACACCTGAACCAAGTATGTTGAACGTGCCCCAAAATTTCAACAATCGAAAGTCGGTATAATTGTATAGATGGATGGAGTAATTTTATTAGTTCCTGTGTACACACAATAAATACAAAAAATCCTAATAAATGTGACGAGGACTCTAACCGGATTTGAAGAGCAGGATAGCGACCTGACCCATGTAGAAGTAGATGAAGTGCTTGGTTTCATGTGTGACGTAGCTAAAAAAGTGGGTAAAAAGGATTTTATCACATTTTGAATATAAAAAAATCAAAGCTTTTTTAGTTTTGGACACCCAAACATTCCAGCAAGTATATTTCTTAAAATTATTATTTTTTAATCTGAACATTTTTAGTCCTAGCAGCCAGCCGTGCGTGCTAAAAAGATTAAACTCAAACTGAATATCTTGGTGTCATCAACTAAACTTAACTAAGACCTTAAAATTTCTGCCGTAAATAATTATGATACCTCTAAAATACTTACCTGCCAAAGTTGCGGCCAACAATGCAATGCCAAGTTGGGTTGTACTTTTGGTCGAATTCCTTCTTTATGTAAGCAGCAATGTCCTTCTCAATGTTGAATTTGGTCATAGCGGTTTCACCGGCCTTAATGGCATCTTCCTGCATATCGCTGCTCATATCGGCATTTTTGACAACAGCCTTGTTGCTCGACATGGTCAGTGGGTTGTGGTTGGGCGTTGGCTCTTTTGTTGCTACTGGCGTTCAGCCTAGTACCGACTTTATATTCCTGCACACAGCAGGCCCAGATGCGTGGCTTCTGAGGCGATTTTAGTAG